TTTCTCTCAGTGTTGTTTTATCTTATTTCAAGTTCGGTCTCGTTTCACATTAAAAAAGAAAAAACTCCGGCTTGGCGCTTATCTTGAACTTTATGAGCATTTCATAGAATAAGCTGCAAATAAATATTTAATGTTCAGGTGATTTTATGCAAATTATATATGCATACGAATGATTTTAATTGACTAAGATTATGGAGGTTGCTATTGTTGTTGGTGCTGCTGCTTTTTGATGACATTGTTCATGCGCTTGGTTAAGATCAAGTGAGAGATAAAATAGATGGGAGGGGCAGGGAAGAGGGAGAGGAAGAGAGAGAAAGAGAGAGAGAGAGAGAGAGAGAGAGAGAGAAATAGATAGTAAAAACACGAGCCAAGCCTAAAAATACTTTATATAATTAAATAAAAAAATATTAATCAAATAGGTTTGTTTGTAAATTTGCTTTTATTACTAATTACTTTTATGTTGTTTACCTAACTTTTAAATGTTTATGATTTTTAAAAAAGTTTCAATTTAATTTTAACTTATTAAAAAATTTCGTTCTAAAATGTTTAGTATATACATATAGAAATGAAATATTATTTAAATTTAATGCTGATAAAAATATGATTTATGTTTTGCAGACCAGTCAATCCAAAAATATGAATGACAAGCTCGCTGTGAATTATTTTTTAGTTTCATTGTAGAGCGAATTTTAATCTAGAGATTTTGTGTGTGTGTGTGTGTGTATAATTAAATGAAATTATTTAGTTGTTTTTGACATTGAAATTCATGGATACGTTTTTGGGGCCAATAAAAATGTCAGATGCTTTTAAATATCACTTCGGTCATAAATTATACAAATATAACAAAATATATTTTGAAATTATGTAACTTCAGTAAATTGATTACATTAAAGACGTATATTTAAAATATTTAAATTACATAAATATAAAGCAAGGTTTTTTTACGCCTATATTCTAGCTTTATAAAGATGAATGGTATTTTCCATCCCTAAATATATTTAATCAGCATATTTTGAGAATCTAAATCTATATATTTAATGGGATCAAAGTTGTTTGCCAAGAATGTGCACACGCAGTCGATTTGCTTTTGATTATATAGTTGAATAAATATATAACAGTATTAAATTTGTGTTGTTGCTTTATTTAAATGAATTGAACAAATTCGAAATCTCATCTCGCATAGCATTAATTAAACGTCTCAATAACAGGCGCAGGTTATCTGTTCCGGCAGCACTTATGGAATTTTTGATTAGAACTGAAAGTTTTTTGTCAAATCTCTAAACGACAGTCCATATGAATGCTATAGCATATAATGAATGAATGAATATGCTGGGTTGCCATGGGCCATCGGAACCGAACGGCGCGACCCAAAGCCAAATAAATTTATGCAAAATATGCCAAACTTTGTTCTTGTGTGTGAATGTAAATTTCTTTTGTGTCGCTCGTTTAGTGGCATTAACTAAAGCAGTTAAAGATACACCAAAATATTAGGCAATGCGGATAGGAGTGACTACGGAATACTCTGACTTTCGGACTATATTTCTAGCTTTCTCTGGAAACAGGCAGATAGAAAAATATACCTCACGGCCTTAGCTCAATTTTAAATTTTTCTCTGGAATTTGTATGCTTCTTGAGATTGATCATGCTGCCTCAAACCCTTTACCCCTAATCTCTATTATTTTATACACTTTAATATAAAGCCTCATACACAATTTACATATTTATCCATATATAGTTTTAATGGCAATTTCGAATCAAATCATATTGTAGATAACCAACACCATACTGTCAAAATTTAACGTTTAGCAGAGCTATAAAATATATTTTTAATTTGGTAAAGATAAGATCGCAAGAAGAGAGAAAAACATAAAAACTTAACTGTCAAAACGCATGTAGAAAAACCAAACTTTTATCTCCACAACCAATCAAATTTATAGACAATTTCTAAATCTTTTGTTATAGTAATACAATATCATTAATACAACCCGATATATATCTATACTTGGTTAATCCGAAACTAAAATAAACTTTGGCAAAATTAACTCAATTGTTAGAATATAGATCGAGTCTATTTTTGATGGCATTAACTTGATGCGTATCACATTTTATGACAGCATTTTAATACCCTATACAATTGTATGAAAATATACCAAGCTACTAAAGAAATTCAAGAGGAGCTTTAACATTTTTATAGCATTTCCAAAAGACCCTGATCGATTCTATTGATTGAATCGTAAATTTGTTTTTGTTTTTTACATTTCATTTTTAACATTTTTTTT